GTACTTATAGTATTTAAAAGTAATTTAGATCTTAATAATAAAAACTTTAATACTAGTATTAATATAGTAAGTAATTAAAATATAGTACTAAATACTAATAAATAATCTTTTAGTAAAGTAGTACTTACTATAAGTATAATATAACTAAGTTAGCTTAATTATTATAGTAATATAGAGATAGTTATAGATATTAAGTTCTATAGTCTTAAATATAAACTCTTTACCCTTAAGGATAATATTAAGGATACTAAAGAAAGCGCTAATATAACTAGCCTTAAGAGACTTTTTACTGTAATAAATAATAATTATCTTATAAAGCTCTTTATAAATAATAGTAGCGCGCTATTCTTTATAAATTAAGGTATAGAATTTAGTAAGTTTCTTATACTAAGCAATAACTTTATTATTAGTATAGCTATACTTATACTTGCAGATTTTAATCTAGATACAGATTATTTCCTTATAGTAGGTAGCAATCTCTATATACTTAGTGATAACTACTGTCTTAGTCTATGTTAAGAATAAGTGCATGTATGCACTAACGATAACGCTTGTCTTAGAGAGGATGATCTTGCCGAGTTTAGCAGCGCGGTAGAAGTATCGCGCTCCGCAGAGGTGTGTATCGGAAGAGGTAGAGAACTTGATATGAATGTGACCAAGGGCGATGAGACTCTGAAGGATACTGACGTGCTTCTCACTGAAGTAAGTCTCGCGAACGCGGAGGGCAAGTTCGTAGAGCTTAATGGTATCCTGGTGGACGCGGGGTCTACCCTAACAAGGTCTCTTAAGGAGAGTGAATATGACTGATTCGGGGAAGACATTACGGAAGCCTTGAGGAAGAGTGATCTCTCCACCAGAAGAAATAAAACCAGCATGTCGGAAGTGAATAACCTAGTTGTGCATGACATAGCCTATGAGATGATGCTTGTGAAGCTTGATTTCAACGATAGAGTTATTTAACTCCTTAATGGTTAGTTCCTGATTACTGTCAAGGTTTAATCGGGCGTACAGAAGCATTCTTAGAGTTAGCTGTGAATGAGCTTCCTTGGCGGAGAGGAGTGACTTGCCGAGGAGACTACGGAAGTACGATTGGATAACAGGGTTGCGAAAGTGAAGACGGCCGCCTCGAATGATGAGGAATTTGCTGTGCTTAGAGATAATCTTGGAGATGTTAAAGGTAGTGGGAAGCATGGCTCGCTTGTGGAGATCGGTGGAGAGAAGTTCTGCAATCTCTTGGACGGAGAATGGGATATCGGTGATTAGCATAAAAGAGAGTAGATACTTGAGTGTCTCATTCTGCTTCAAGTTTAACTTGTCAACAGCAAGACGAAGAATCTCCGAGATATTAGCGCTGAGGTTCTTTGTAGTGGCGAAAAAGCCCTTACGAGACTTCTTAAGAAGAAGAAGACGCCCGGCGTAGAAAGCCCAGAGGAAGCGACCCTTGGACTTGACGATAAGATCGTTGATGAACTTCTTGCGGTTGATATGAGTGATGTGGTGTAAATGGCGCGACTTGAAGAGGGTCTGCTTTAGATGGGATCGAAGGTCCTCATGGACCTCCTTCTCCTTGATCTGGAAGCTTTTGACGTCCTTGAGGCCATCGACCTTACGCGAGAAGGTGATGATGTGTGTGCGGGAGAGGTCGGCGACATAGCTCTGGAGGGTTTGGTGAAAGCTGACAGCACTTTTGACACCGCCAGCCATCTCGTCGCAACCATCAGTCAACAGGATGAACGAGGTGCCCGCACTCTTAGAAGCATGGAGACTAGTGTGAAGGGTATCCCAAAGAGTAGCCTCAAGACCAGCAGCGTTGGAAGTCTTGGAGTATGCCTCAAGGGCCTTGACAAGACGACCATAGAGCTCAACGTCACCGACACTTCGCTCAAGGAGCTGGAAGACAAAACTCTTGATGCAAGCAAGTGACGTAGCTTCTTTGGGAGAGTCCCAAGGGAAGTTATAAGAAAGGATAGTGTAAGACTTGTAGTCAAGAGGACGTGCGATTCTCCCTTGAACCCACTCAGCAAGAACACTCTTACCGACACCGGCTTCTCCCTAGATGTTGAGAGCCTTCTCCTTGCTATTGAGGAAAGTAGTCAAGTGACCCTTGATCCAATTGCAAGTATCCTCCGAGCGATCAAGATGTTCATAGACTTCATCGTATAGAGTGTTTCTGACCGATGAACCCGAAGAAGGCTGAAGTCGCTGGCGAATAGACTTGAGACTAATGGAGAAAGCCTTGTTTCCAAGACGATGCCTCTAAACACGATCGTAAAGGTTATCCTTGGCTTTCTAGATATTTTCAATGTGTTGACCAAAAGCAGCGTCAAAGCTAATGGTGATGCTATTGCCCGGTCGGAGGTTGCTGATCTTTTGTTGGTAGTGGATTGCGATGTAACCGATGAGGTGGACGAGCTCGCTGAGGATATGGGCTGCGGCTTCTTTGATGTGATTCGGCATGTACTCGAGGTCGCGGATGCGGGAGACGGTGGACAGAAGCATAGATAGTTCCTAGAGGGCGACAAATGTTGGAGCGAGGGCTTCGGCTTGGTCATGTCCGATCTGCGCACTAGTAAGCACGATGTTAGCAGGGGTTAGGGCGATAATAAACCTGGAGAATAACTTGGCAGCTGGCAAGGGCAGCAGATACAGAAGATGTGCACCAGCAGTAAAAGTGTCGATCTTGCTAGCGAAAGCAGTGATCTGAAGACCAAAGAACTGAGCAGTACTCAACACACGATCCCATTCACTACCTCGCTTCGGCATATGAATAAGTCGCTCATCAGAGATATACTTAAGAAACCTCGAATATCCATCTCATTAACAAACACCTCATCATAGTTATCAAGCTTAGCTATCAATTTCTTGACAGTCCTCGTAACTTTCTTCAACCTCTTATAGTCAAATTTAGTAACATTACTGCCATTAACAACGGTGGTGACTTCGTCATGAGTAGTCTGGTTAGATGCGACGGTAGTGCTTTCGCTCTCACCGTCTGAGACTTCCGCCTCTTTGATGCTTACTGCGACATGGTTCTGTTTGTCTTTGCCGTTGGAGAGGGATTGTTTGATACCTTGACGAACGGACTCCATTGTTGATCGTGAGGACGACACTTCTTGAACGTCGGATCGTAGAGATAAAGAAGACGAGCTCTTGCGTTTTCGTCGGACTGCACTATTATTAGAGAGGCATCTTACAAGAGAGAGACAAGGACACACTGTCAAAGGTTTTTCGCAAACCCAATATACTCAATTAAAAATGCGTATTTAAAAATGCTTAAGCATGAGTCCTATAGTTTGCGCCACACCAGAACTGCGAGCTTCCTGTATTATATAACCCGCTCGATACCCCTTAACAGCTCAAGCTTAGCTGAAGTACCTCCTTAGCTACCCCTAAAACGTCCATCAGCATAGCCCTGGCCTAAGAACTATTAAGACGCGATTAGCCAGATATCATCTACTAAAATAAATAATTTCACTTAAAATTTAGACTTAAATCAAGTAACATTAGATTAAGTTGCTTATTAGTTTAAATTAACCCTAACCCTATACTTAGGGTTAGCTAGCAGTAGCTTAGGGTTAGTATAATATAAAGGAAAGGGGACTTTAATTAATAAAGAAAAATAATAAGACTGCTTTTCTCTTTACTTTTTACTATTAAGATATAAGGGG